AGAAATGATTTCTCTTTACAAGGGAAAGAGAAAAGGATAAGTTTGAGATTGTCCAGTGTAAAGAGTCTATATGTTTCTATTGCCAAGAGAAGGGGGCACTAGTTGCGAAGCTGCGCTGACTACCTGAAAGATCTGATAGAAGGTAGAATCAAAAAGTTTGACTCTACTTCAGGTAAGTCCACTATCTAACTGAATTAAGTTCCTAATTGATGATTGTTAATACATGATGTGACTAGGTTGTGTTTTGATGTTTTGTAGGATCATGCAAAAGGAAGGAAGCTTAAAAGAAGAGTATGATGAAGCTGGTCGCGAAGATGGATTTTAATCACATGGTTTGAAGATCGGGTTTTTGAGTTGCTGCTTAGGAGTTATGATATATTGCTATGAAATATGCAATAGCATATTTTTTCACTTGTATTTGCATTGTAAGGAAAAGTTTTTTCCGCATTTTATAAACAAATAAAATTTTGTTTTTGTTTTTATTTTATATCTCCTTGCAATGGTATTTATGAAAAATTAATATTTGTATGCTTCTAGCAATATTGGAAATATGAATTTTATTCTTTCATTTGTGGTAGTGTCTAAATTTACCAAATAAGGAAAGAATCTCATCACCTAAGTTTCAATTGGACAGAAACTTGGAGTCATGCAAGTTGTATGGTATGATGAATGAGACTTTTCATCTTTGGAAAATTAAGACTAATTCCTTGTATATGTGAGTCAAGTGAAGGAATAAGGGATCGAGTACACATTCTTGTGCACTGGTCAAAGTCCACCACAAAAGATCAATAAGACTATTCATCATGATTTACTAAAGTTTAGTAAATAAGGTTATACTTACAAGTTTAAGTATAATTCTGAAACATTAGAAAGTTTCGATGTATGGAAGAATGAATGAGAAGAATCAAATTAGGCAGAAAGATAAAAGTTTCTTAAATCTAAAAAGATGGGAAAGTACTTTAGTATCATGTTTTATGATCATCTTAATGATTATGAAACCATGTCACAATTAATCCTCTAAGGACATCTTAGTGCATTCTTATGGCTAAGAAGAGGAGTGATGAATTTTTGAAGTGGTTAAATCAAGAAGATGAGTCACACTTCGTTCCAAAACAATTCTTAGAGTCATGCTCCAAGATTGCAACTTGAGTGACATATATTAAAGTAGTTTTATAACACCTGTCAAATGTAGAGTAAAATGTTTTCTACTCTTATACGTTGGAAATTGTTAAGTTGTGATGTTTTGGATAAAACAAAGACCAACTAAGGCTAATTGTGTGAAGTGTTTGTATTGATAAGAATCCACACTAACTTTTGAATATTTGTTGTCAAGCAATGGTATTTGGCTAAGAGAAATGTAATGTCAAGAGGTCAGTGGGAGTCTTAAAGATCCTGAAAGAGTTTCAAGAACTAATCAAGAATAAAACCTGTAGTTTATCACTAGTACACAACTTGAGGTTTGTAACCTATTATGGTGAGATAATTCTTGTTTATGTGTGTATTCTGGTAAAGTTGACTATATATGCAAGTTCAATGAGTTCTCAGTTGTGTGCATAACAACTTGGAAGCAATGGTAGGCCCTTGTGCTGCCAAGTGGCAAGAAATTAAGATTGAACAAGTTCAGTCCATATGAGTTTGAATTAATCACTAACCTTGTCTTGTGATTATGGTTTTGACAAATTCACATGGATAGGAACACATACACCATAAAATCTAAGTGTCATAAGGTTTCTCTTCGATCCATGAAAATGATGGTGAGGAAAAGCTTTCACTAAAAAGATTTTAAGGAGATATCAATTGTGATTAAGGCATCCCTCTTCATGGTTTGAATTGTGAGAATCGTAAAAGGTCTAAACATTATGATTATGGCATCCCTCTACATAATTGTTTAAACACACATGTGAGCTATCTAAGGAAAGGTGCATGATTTTGAGAAGCTTAGATAATGTTTTATCAAAGCATCATGTATCAAAAATCAGAACTTTGGTAATTAAAGTCAATTAAGTATTGATTTCTAAAAGTCCACCTGATTTCTGAGTACATGTCAGAGCTAGTGGGAGCATAAGTGTTATGCTGGTAAGATAATAATAATTATGCTAGTGGGAGCATAATTAATTATGGTAAATATTGCAAGTTAGCAATGTTAATCATAGAAACCAAAAGTTTCAATTAGTGAAGCTGCAAGGGTTGAAAAAGTTGTTTAGCTATAATTATGGGAGAAGAAATGATACTTCATTTCAAATCTAAAATCTTAGATTGTGAGTTTTAATCAAATTTAGTCATGATTACATTATTTGCCTTCTAAAATTTGATTATGATTACGACATCCCTCTTCATAATTAGAATTATGAGAACATGGAAAGTTATAAGAAATATTGTAGCAAAAGACTGGTCAAGTATCATGTCTTTACGTGATACATCATGAATCATGTCTCGTATGCTTGAGATATAGGATTGATTGCATGTGCTATAATATTTATCCGTTCTAAATTTTCCAATTGCCTAAGGCATTAAGAGGGAAAATGATTAGAACCGGATATGACCGAAATGATTAAGCAATTGTCGAGGACAATCTAAGGTTTACCTAAGATTGGTTTCTCATATGCAGTTGGAAGTATGGTGTAAAATTTTCGAGAGGGGCCATATTGACATATTCTGAAAAGAGGTAGCTCTTGTTCAGAAGTAATAATCAAAATGGGAATATAGAAATGTTTTCCGTATTGGAAGTTGGATTTTATAAGAAAGCTAGAAATTTTTATGCAAGAAGGATGTTCAAAGGAACGTACTTTAAACTTGGGACTTCATCTCCTTGGAATTGTCTTGTAACAATTTCTAGTGGAATGTATTGTAATATCGTTGGTCAAATCTTTGTGACTCTTGGTACCTAGACATTACAAAACAATATTGCATAATAGTGTAGAATCTAACATATTCGAGGAGTGAAAAGAGTTTGGAATTCTTACACTTGAAATAAAGATTTGGAATTGTGAAATGAGCATCATTGGAATCATGTTAAATTGATATATTTCACAAAGTAAGGATAATAGACATACATAGTGTGCATACTTGGAGTATAACATAACTATTGTTTAGAAAACATAGTGTGGATGCTTGGAGCATGGGAGAAATATTGTTTTAATTCAAGTAGTAAGTTGATTATTTGAAACATTATGCAATGAATAATGTGTAATCAATATGCTGATAAATAAAAGGTGTTTTATTTGTATTCATAAGTTTTGAGACCATATTGGATTCGACATGCATAAGACTTGATAGAAAGGTACCATCAGTGTGCTCGACAAGAAAGGTATGAAATCATTGCCTCCATGATAAAAACATAAATGAAGGATAGAGAGTCCATCACAGCCCACTTGCAAAATATCCAAAGATATGTGGACCGCTTGCTAAACTTGAATGTTAATTTCGATGAAGAGTTAATGATATTAGGACTCTACCGTAAAAAAAAAAGTTTTCGACTTTTTTTGTCAAATCGTTGAAAATATTGGGACTTTAGTGTATATATAATTTTTTTGGTTAGAGATTTAATGATATGATACTCTCTAAGCAAGAAAAAAAAAAACCATAATTGTATTAGCTTTTTGTAATCTTAAAAATGGAGAAATTAGAAACCTAAAAAAACAAAATTGTTCTGGCTTTATACAAACACAAACAATATATACCTAATCAAAAGAGTGTGAATGTGGAGAAGGGAAAGAAGGGCAATTTCGTTTTTTCGATTTCATATTTCTTCCTTTTATGGGGTTGCAAAAAGCCAACACAACCATGATTGTTTGTTTCTTTTTTTCATGATTATTTCATTTTTTTCAATATCGTTTTATTAAGATTAAAAAAACGATTTAACAAGAAGCAAATGTTAAAGATTTCAATAGTATCTAGGAGATTAGAAAAGATTTCAATAACTCTTATGCTTAAAGAATATCATACCATTAAATTTCTAAAAAAAAAATTATATATACACAGTAAAGTCTCAATATTTCAACGATTTAACAAAAAAATCCTAAACTTTATTTTTTTGACAGTAAAGTTCTAATTGACGATTTGACAAAAAAATCTTAAACTTTATTTTTTTGACAAAAAAGTTCTAATTACCGGCTAACCGGAAAAAAAGGGTAAAAGTGTCAAAAACTGTCGGTAATTTGGACTTTACTATAAAAAAAAAAATAAAGTTTATAACTTTTTGTCAAATCGATGAAAATATTACAATTTTACTGTATATATCCTTAAAAAAAAATTTTGGTTGTAATGGAATGTATACTTTACCCGGGGCATTTTCCTACTAGAACCTAGCTAGATAGCATAAGTGTTAATCTTGACTAATTATTATGCCTGATTTTTTTTTCACTTATTGAGACACATGATTACTTGTTTATTATGTCTCCAATGACATCTTGTATTTACAGTGTTACGAGAAGATGGCGAAATTTAGAGAATCATCAATTCATGATGTCTAGAAATTGAATATAAAGAGTATAACATGGGTCTCATGGTGGTGCAACAAATAAGTTTGAGACTTCGTCGTTCTAACTAACTGTTCAGTGCTTTATTCTTTTTAGAATGTGCTACTTTTTGGTACATAAAACCTAGAAAAATGTTGATATGTCTACTAAGATTTATCACAAGCCTATTTTTCGTTTTTTAATAAAAAAATGTTAAAGTTCAAAATGAATAGGGTTGGTTCGTTATGAAACCTAAATTTAACATTTGTATTGTTGTGTGTGTTTTGTATTTTTCACAACTTTTTCTAGATTTTTAATATCAATTGAGTTGTTTAAAAAATTATAATTAATGAAATTGTGAATGGCTAACAACAGTAATACATTGTAAAAAAAAAAATAGTAAATGGGAAACTTCATAAATCATTCAAATAACTTGAAGTCATAAATTATATAAATGCCTTAGTTATTACAAATCAACAATCTAGTATTACAAACTTAGTACCTCAAATTAATCAAACACAAAACAAACCATTTAGACCAACATCAAGAACCACTCGCTAAAGATTGAGTTGTCTCGAATGACTTTCTTCTCACCAAAAGACAATTGATTTTTGACGGTTGAGCATGAGTATTCTCAACTGTGCATATTACAAAGTCTGGTCGATGAAGTGCCAAAGTTAATCGGTCTTTTTTAGGTTCTAATTCAGTGGCATCCAGAAGAACATGCCAAGAATTTCGATGAGCCTCTGAAATCCAATGCATAGAGTAACTAGTCCCATTGATGTAGGCCGGATATGCAAAAAGCCCTTTTGGACTGTATTTACACTTTCGTCTAAAATATTGACTAAGTTGCGAGCCTTTAATACGTAGATCCAACCATGACTCAGGAGCAGCTATGACTTTCGATTCCTTCTTTCCCACAAACTCTTTAACCGGGTCTTCTTTTTCATTAATAATCGTCATGTAATAATTCCCTTTAAAAAAAGGGTATGATTCCCCTATCATCACCATTGCTTCTGTAAAAGTAGGTGTGAATAACACAAGGTACTCGTCTTCTTGTAGCCCACAGTTTTGTAAGGCCTTATTTCGGACTTGGATCTCCGGAATGGAGATGAAATTACCTTGGAATGATGACTTTTTGTTTAAGGTTTCCAACAACTTCGAAGGCTCTAACTGTGTTCCATCAAGATCATTTGTAGAACTAAAGGAAGATGGTGAAGACGAGTCTTTTATAGTAATAGCTCTAGGGGAATACTTTCTTTTTTCATCGCTCATATTTGCTTCCAAACTTGACTCATCCTTGCTACAAAGATTGTAGAGATCAATTTTGTCACCCTCTTCGAGTACAAGTCCATTACAATATTCAGGGTATTTTGCAAAGATATATTGCTTCACATACTCCATTTCTTGTGGTGTGATTGGGCCTGACCATCTCAGATCAAGCCCGTGGAGGGTAGATATGGCTTCGGCAACTAGATGTGCTGGAAACACCGTATGTGCTTTCTATATATAATATGTATAAATCATTATATAAACCAACGAAATAAATCATTATATGGTATAAAAATAACATGATTCATAAAAAACATTCTGAAAAAGGATTAATAATTCATTTTTTTTAATTAAGTTTTGATTCACTTTTCAGACAACTTAAATTGATCATCGCAAAAATGGATCATCAATGTGTTTTTTTTTGAAATTCTATTTTGCAAATCCTATTATTTTTGTATTATGTAAAGACTCATTTTGTTGATTCGACAAAAATCATACAAATGATGCACTTTTTACTTTTCTTACCAAATATTTTGTTCTTACTGGATATATATATATATATATATATATATATATATAAATCGTTTCGGGTAAGGATTAAAAAATAAGTGAGGACTGCTAAGACAAATCATTGATGCATGATTGAAAAACTTAAAGGTGAATATTTGATTTTATTTATCATGAACATATCGCAAGATGATGTCGTTTTAGTAATTAAGTACAAGATATTGATAATTTTAGCAAAACGTCCTTAAAATTTTGTTTTTCTACAAAAAGAACACAATCATGAAAATTTGAATTTTTTTTCTAAAAGACCCAGAATAAAAAATCTCCAAAAATCATGAAAATTAATATATTTCTTTACTCACGATAGTAATGACTTTGTTAAAAGAATATATATATATATATATATATATATATATATATATATATATATATATATATATATATATATATATATATATATATATTTATTTATTTATTTATTTATTAGAAGAATGAGAAAAAATAAGAACTTGCCTTCATGACCATGCTTGTTGGTCGGCTTCCATTGTTTTGATTAGGCGAATTTGGCAAAGAATCTAATAATGACTTCCCAATTTCGCTTTCATCCATCTCCTTATCAAGTTTGAAGCAGAAATTCACTGTTACATGATTTTTAAGAAAAAACAAGCATTAAATTTTCCATGCCCAACAACTATGTTTAAGATTGCCTAAAGTTTTTCAGTTACAAACCCAGTCGCCAATATAAATACATAAATAGACAGACAACAAAAATTAAGTTATTTTCCTGATATTTTGAATACACTAAGAGGTGAAATTTTTGTTTACCATACGATTATTCCTTTATAGTAACTATAATACAGTCCACAGTAGATAAATAAGAGATTCAATACTATCATCTGTAGGTTGGTATAAAAATATTACTCGAATTGTAATTTCAAATTTTAATATTTACCTTAGTTTCTTGTTGTAAGATCGATCGTCCGTTCCTCAAGGTTTCTTCCCATGTTTATTGATGGTGTTAAGGAAGAAGAGAAGGAGAATAGAAGAAGGGAAGGAAACGAGGTTGCAAGGACTATGGCTGGCGTCAATCATATGAACACAACAAACGTTTCTCATATATTAATAAAATCAAGGAGACAACAAATAAAAAATACTGACAATGGGCGTCAGCTGGCCCTCATTTGAATTATTCCAATATTTAAGTTCTATAATACCAGACCAAATTACATAAACGGTCTTTGTGGTTTCTTGAAAATTGCAGTGTTGGTCCTTTTTGATGAATATTCTCATCATGAGTCCTTTTTTATTTTGAGCAAAAAGATTCCGAGATATATATATATATATATATATATATATATATATATATATATATATATATATATATATATATATATATATATATATATATATTGTTATAAAATATGATCAAATAACAAGATAAATTATAGAATAAAGAAAGACATGAGAGTAGAGAGAACTTTTATTCCAATACTTGTGAAGAAATTATCAAGTTTCTAATATATATGGCTCACTATTTATACTATCCAAATAAGAAGAAAGATGAGCTATAATATGAATGTACATTATGATGGTGTATTATTACATTCATAAAACACATTGAAATGGTTGTTACTAATGCTAAATAATGATGGAGAGTTATGGGAGAAATGGAGAATCCAATGGTCATTCACAAACTAATATTTCATAACACTCCCCCTTGAATGACGATTGTATCATGCCTCGTTAAAACCTTAATAGGTAAAACCTCATGAGAAAAACCATTTGTTAAGGAAAAAGAGTACATGATTAATAATAGATATTTGGAACAATTGTCTCGTTAAAAACCTTGCTAAGAAAACCCAGTGGGAAAAACATAGCTAAGGAAAAGAGTACAATGTGTTTCCAACTCCCCCTGATCATCACATCACTTGATTTCCTTAAAGCGTCGCATTCCAATATTTTGTACCATGTTTTCAAATTTGGATGTAGGGAGTGCTTTAGTGAACAAATCTGCCAAGTTCTTACTTGATTGAATTTTCGGGATGTTGATGCCACGCTCTTTTTGAAGATCATGAGTAAAAAAAACTTTGGTGATATATGTTTGGTTCTATCTCCTTTGATAAACCCTTCCTTGAATTGGGCTATACAAGCCGCATTATCTTCATATAGTATGGTTGCAACGTCCCTCATGAATTGCTCCACAAGTGAATAAATAACCTCGAAGATATTGAAGAATGTGTTTGACTCCACTCTAATGTCTTCTTGTTGGGCAAGAAATATATCTTGCTAATAAGTTTACAGCAAAAGATATATCAGGTCTCGTATTATTAGCAAGATACATTAGTGCACCAATAACATTAAGATATGGTACTTCAGGACCAAGAAGTTTTTCATTTTTTTCACAAGGCCGAAACTGGTCCTTTTTGGCATCTAAATTCCTTACTACCATCGGGGTACTCAATGGATGCGAGTTATCCATATAAAACTTTTTAAGCACCTTTTCTAGATAACTAGATTGATGTACAAAAACTCCATTTTTTGGTGTGCTCAATTTGAAGACCCAAACAAAATTTCGTTTTACCAAGATCTTTCATTTCAAAATTTTCTTTCAATCAAGAAGTGGCATTTTCCAATTCTCCAGGAGTTCCAATTATGTTCAAATCATCTACGTAAACAACATTTATCACAAATTCTGATCCGGATCTTTTTATGAATACACATGGGCTTAATGGATCATTTTTATAGCCTGCTTTTAAAAGAAATGTACTTAAACAATTGAACCACATACGGGCAGATTGTTTCAATCCATACAAAGATTTATTTAATTTTACCGAATATACTTCACGAGAATTAGGAGTTTGTGCTTCTGGCACCTTACGCATCTCCAATTTTTCATGTGTTGCCAGACTTATTAGATAACGGAATGTAATTGCATCAATCACAGGAGAGTATGTTTCTTCATAATCAATTTCGGGCCTTTGGGTAAAGCCTTGTGCAACAAGTCTTGCTTTATATCTCACAACTTCATTCTTCTCGTTTCTTTTTTGCACAAATACCCATTTGTGGCCCACTGGTCTTACTTCGTTTGGTGTATGGACTACAGGTCCAAAAACTTTTCATTGAGTAATAGAATTAAGCTCTTTATTTATTTCATCTTTCCATTTTGGCCAATATTTTCTATTCATACATTACTCGATAGATTTAGGTTCAAGATCCTCATTTTCTTTATAATCGCGCGCGGAACATGATATGAAAAATTATCGTCGACATCTATCTTATTTCGGTTCCATCTTATTCTTGTCATGACATAATTTATTGAGATCTCTTCATTTTCTTAATTTTCAGGTACCCGGTTTCTTTTGTTATGTCATTGGGCTCTTCTGGAGCTTCATTAATCTTTTCAAAAGATTATGTTTTCTCTTTTGGACTATCAATTATATTTGCTCCCTTTCGTTTTCGAGGATTTTTATCTTTGGAACCGGTTAGTCTTCCACGCTTCAGGCGTGCCTTTGATTCATTTGTAGTTGTATTTTTTTCCTTCTGGGATATCAATTCTAACTTGAGTAAGTATAGCTGGTACATGAAACTTTGTTACCCACTTAGGGTCAGTAAATGCTTCTGGCAATTGATTTGCTACATTTTGTAAATGAATTATCTTTTTTATTTCAAGTTCACATTGACTTGAACGAGGAACTAAAACTGAAAGTGACAATTCCTTTCAAGAGATTTTATTTTCCAGCTTCTTTATTTCTCCCCCTAATGTTGGAAAATATGATTCATCAAAATAATAATCATCAAATATAGCTGTAAATAAATCTCCAATTGATGATTTTAAATATTTTACTATAGATGGAGATTCATATCCAACATAAATTCTCATTCTTCTTGAGGACCCATTTTTGTGAAGTGGGGTGGAGAAATGGGTACATAAATTATACATCCAAACATCCTTGGATGGTAAATAATTGGTTACTGACTGCAAACCAGTTGAATAGGGGAGAACTCATGATAACTAGTTGTCATTATGCATTTAAGTGATGTTGCATGTAAAATTGCATGTCCCCATGTCGATGTAGGAAGTTTAGAATGCATTAATAATGGTCTTGCAATTAATTGAAGGCGTTTGATTAACGACTTAGCTAAACCATTTTGTGTATAAACATATGCAACATGATGTTCAATAGTTGTCCTAATCGACATGGAATAATCATTAAAAGCTTATGATGTAAATTCTCCAACATTGATAAGTCAAATTTCCATAATTGGGTAATCGAGAAAATGTGCCCTTAGGCGGATTATTTGTGCTAGTAATCTTGCGAAAGCGAGATTATGGCTAGATAACAAGCACACATGTGACCATATAGTTGACGCATCAGTTAAGAGCATAAAATATCTAAATGGTCCACATGATGGATGAATTGGTCCACATATATCCCCTTGAATTCTTTCTAAAAATCTAGGACTTTCATACCCAACTTTATTCAATGATAGACGGGAAATTAATTTTCCTTGAGAACATGCAACACAAGACAATTCATTAGCTTGAAAAATCTTCTGGTTTTTCAAGGAATTTCCACTTGAACTTTCAATTATTTTGTGCATCATAACTGATCCGGGATGGCCCAACCGTTCATACCGAACTTTGTAGATGTTATCATACCTTTTATTTTCAATAGCATGAGATTCAATCATTCTAATATTTGTATAATACAATCCGGAGGACAATACGGGTAATTTTTCCAAAGAACTTTTCTTATCCGATAACATTTTTGTAATGTTGAGATAATTTTTATTACCATCATTAGTTGTTTCAATAGGATATCCGTTAGACCAAATATCCTTAAAACTTAATAAATTTCTTGGTGATTTTAATAAAAATAATGCATCATCAATTGTAATTATTTCCACTTGTGGTAATACTATATTCGCTCTTCAGGAGCCTTCAATCTTGGTGATTTAGACGAAAATAATGCATCACTAATTTTTAATTAGTGTCCCTTTTTGTAATATAATATTCGCTCTTCCGGAGCCTTCAATCATTTTTGCATTACCTGTTATTAAATTAACATTTGCTTCTCTAATTGATAAGTAAGCAAAATACTTTTCATTATTAAAAATGCTATGTGTTATTGTATTGTCTGCAAGAAATATATCTTTATTATTTCTTTTGCGAATATCCATGTTTCTTTTCAATAAATAAATAAAACATAAGAAACATTCGACTTAGAGAAAGAAATTCATATTTTATTAATTTGGGAAGATTGTGACGACATCATTTCTCATGAAACGAATATGACATAAAAACATAATAAATATCATGAAACAAAACTTTACATTATGCTGATCAATCACCATCCATATCACCACTTGTCCCTTCGGGGTAGACAAGAAAATCGACAACATCCAAATATATCATTTCTGGTTGATCTTGATGGATATCACTTTGAATAAAATTTGTTTCGATATTTTTCTTTATATTTTAGAGAATCTTGATAAAGATCAACAAAATGCTTTGGTAAGCGGCATGTACAAGACTAATGATCGGTCATTCCACATTAGTGATAAACATTTTCAACTTTTTTTTTCCTTGACCACTTTTATCATTAGGA